TATTTTTATTTATTTATTTATTTTTTAAATTTATTTATTATGGGATGTCTACGTTGGTGCAGATTGTCGGTCCTCTTTCCTTACTTCTTCCTTTTTCTTCATTTTCACCTCTAGACGAAATGCCTTCCAAATTACCTCTTTGGTTCCGATTGTTGCGGCTGAACCCCAATACCTCCACGGGAGACACAGTGTGGGTCAATTTGAAAATGAATCTCTTGTTTTTGTTTCGGGACATCGAACTCAGATGAAGGCTGGTGCCGGAAGGCCTGGAACAAAACAATATTTTCACAAACGCAACTCTTGTTACCCTGCCCTGGACAATCGTCTTACGTTCCCAGTTCATAAGTCAAGGCTGTCATCCACATTCGCTGACTCAAGATGTTAAACTGCCATATCCATGGTTTAACTAAGCTCATACGAGGATGGGTTTATTTCCCCTTGTTCCCTCATAAATCCGGCAGACCTGTTATTATCGCGGTTGACCTCGGTGTGGACGACTTCGGTTGATATACTGAAGATGGGTATTTGTAACTCCCTTTGCTTTGGAAGTTTTAAGCACCATTCCAACCCTACCCTATATCTCTGTACCATCGTAGTCATCATAAAGACGGGAGTTGCTGGCTCGTATGCAACTATAATCATCTTTACCGTGTTGAAAGGGCTGGGAATTTAAACCCCTACCTTACCATAGGCTCCCTCATAAGGCTGACTTTACTTCCCTTTTCGAGGATATTGCTTTCTCCGTTTACAGTATCGTATTACTATGTTCGCCCACTTTCAACGTCGGTTTACAGCATGCAAGGCAGTTGCCAAGCGAAAACAGAACAAAAACAATGAAGTATCGGGGTCCACTTTCCCGCCCTCTCGAGGTCGTATATGGTTTTTAGCCTCATACTCCTTTCTTTTTCTTTTTTTTCCCACGACTTAAAGCACACATTATGCTTAAGTTGAACGGAGAAATTATGATAATTAGGGCTGGCTTGCATGTTGAGAGGCTCACGTGAGGAGACTCGTTGTCTCGCTTGTGAGCTAATGAACTTCACTTCTGCTTCTCCGCGGGAGACGAACTCCAAAGGCATGGACGCGTGGAATCCACATCAGCCGCGGATGGTTGACGAAGAATACGGTGGCGTTTATTCGCCAGTGCTTGCAAGGAAACGCATGCCCCCGAAATAGTTTATTGGCCCTTTCTAAACTGAGCCTTTTCTATCTATAGCAACTATAGGTTGATGGACCGTGTGTAGCTGTAGGCCCTACTTATGAGAAATTAGTTAAATCTATGTACAAGAGCAGAGTCTTGTGGTGTAGAGTCATGACCTAGGGTTATCATTGTCTTTACTCTTTAGCATTTTGATAATCTCTAAAAGCAGAAATTTGAAAAGTGTTCCTTAACTTGTATTCATTAAGTTCTGTTGACACCTTCGCTAATCTTGGTGAATAAAAAACTTTGGGGATAGACATTTCCTGGAGTATATATCGACGAATAAGCGTTCCTTTAGAGTGAGCCGCTTTCTCATGCTTCATGCCGACATCCAGTGAGAGCATGTTATGTTGCGGAGCGGTCGTAAAATCATCTTGCCGAGATCAAACGTTTGGCGAAAACGTTCCGAATTCATTATACTTCACGCCTAATGTATAACACCGTATGAAGTGGGAATTAGGAGAGAACTCTCTCTCTCTCTCTCTCTCTCTCTCTCTCTCTCTCTCTCTCTCTCTCTCTCTCTCTCTCTCTCTCTCTCTCTCTCTCTCTCTCTCTCTCTCTCTGTCTCTCTTCTCTCTCACTTTCGCTCGTTCTCTCTCCCTATCTCTGGTTTTGAGAGTTTTTTGGGGTGAACTTTTAAAGTTTCTCCTTTTTTCTTTCATATTGTAACTGTTTTAAGATTAGAATACTTGCACTGGAACTCAGTCGATGACTGTTTGCCTGCTTTTTTCCCTGGATAAAGGCCTTTAAAATCAGTAAAATCATTTTAATATCTTGAAATCTTGAAAATCTGTGCACTTTTTCGCCGCAATCGCGTTGCTTTTAATTCAATTTGAAACTTTAAAAAATAAATGATTGTCATATTTTCCTAGCAAAATCTGACCGTTAGCGTGCCACGACTTGAAGAAAAACTGGAATTCAACAGTCCTTTTTGCACGTATTTTAGATCTGGTAGGTTCCATTTCTTTGCTTTCTTATGTCCCTTTTTTTCTCGGACTAAGTGAGCTAAACTGCGTTCATGTCCGTCTCGCAGGTGGCTGGAGGGCGCCTCTGGAATGTTCTTCTTTTTTTTTCTTTCTCAACTCTGTTGTTTCTGTCCACCTGTCTTGAATTTCCCTGCTTTATTATGACCATTATTGTTTCGATGTACTTCTCTTTACTCTAACTCAAGTTTTCCCCCTGCTTTTTATGACCGTTAATGTTTCGATGTATTTCTCTCTACTCAAACTCAAACATATGCTTCTCTTTAAACTCGGACTAAACTTTGTCCCCTTTTTATCTTCAGATGCAGCAGATCCTGTACCAGAACTACAAGGAAGACAAGGGCTCCTTCAAGAACACGCTCAAGAACAAAGAGGTCCAGAAGGCCGTGTCGCTGCACCCGGTGAAGGACCCGGACTACCAGTACCACATCTACAACTACCTGCGCTCGGTGCGCGTCATGCAGCAACACCAGCGGGAGGTACAGCTCCACCGGGACCTGGCGGCCATGACAGAGTTCCTGGAGGACGGCTGGTTCCTACCGGAGCCCAGCCTCAGCCAGAAGCCCTCGCTCATCAAATTCCGGCCCCTGAACGGGAAAGAAGTCATTCCATGGGAGTATCTAGCCCGCTCTATTTTCTCTCCGTTCAACAACAACCCCAGACGCGGAATCGACGAATCGGTCAAAGGAGCGTTAGACGAACTCGTCAATCAGATCATCATGAAAGTCAATAAAAATGCCCACTTGCGAGGTAGGACAATAGATTTTAAAGAAATCCGTTACGGATACCAACGCCTGGATCCAATGCATGGGCCAGACTATATTCTTGACCTGCTGCTTACGTATAAGAAATATCGCGGGAAAAAAGTCTCTATGAATGTCAGGCGACATGCATACCTTCAGAGGACTTTTTTACCACTGGAGATGAAAGAAGACCCAGGTGTTGTTCCGACGAAGGAAGGTTTTGGGGTTGGGGCCAAAGTGAAATCCTGGCTGCACAAATTTTCTGGCCAAGGAGATTCTCCTCAGCTCATCAACAAGAGAAACGAGCACATCGACATCATTATGCCTCTGATGGGCAGGTACAAAATATTCCAAAGATTTATGAACAACTTTGTGAATGTCTGTCTGCTCCCGCAGGAAAATGTGAAACTTGTTGTGGTTCTGTACCACGCCAAAGACGACCCAGATGCATTTAAACACAGTCTTGATCTCATTTATTATCACCAAGACAAGTATGGCAAGGACTTCATCGAAGTGGTTCAAACAAATTCTGAGTTCTCGCGTGGGCCGGGCCTGCAGTTAGGAGCGGAGCGTTGCCACGAGGACTCGCTGCTGTTTTTCGTGGATGTGGACATCATCTTTTCCTCCGCCTCTCTCGACCGCATCCGACTGAACACCCGGCGAGGGTCTCAAGTATACTTTCCCATTGTTTTCAGTCAGTACGACCCCCAGCCTGTGTGCGCGCCGGGCTCCCCGCACTGTGACTGCAGACACACTGAGTGTGTTCTCAAACCAGAGGACGTGAGCGAGGATGCGGGCTACTGGCGTCTGTTTGGCTTTGGCATCGCCGCCCTGTACCGGAGTGACTACCACGCTGTGGGCGGCTTTGATCTCAGTATAAGGGGGTGGGGCAAGGAGGATGTGGATTTATACACTAAATTTATAGAGCATTATTACATCATCTTCAGGGCTGCTGATCCTGGCATGACTCACATCTTCCATGCCATTCAGTGCAGTGACAACCTGGTGGAGGCACAGATGGTCATGTGCATCAATTCTAGGGCTCAGAGCTATGCATCAACGTCCTTGCTTTCTAATCAAATCTACAACAATCATGAAATCTTACGCAGAATGGAAATGCACCATATAAATCATAGATTAAAATAGGGTGATATTTGTAAAGTGGGCGAATTGCTTTAGGTAGTTTATATCCTCAGCTGAGCTGTGTGACATGTTTGTTTTCTGTTGATTATACTGGTTGTGTGGTTTTATTTAGTGCCTTCATTTCTGTTAGTGTCCTGAAACAATGCTTGAAACTTTGCAAAGTAACTCCACTCCTCTGCCTGCTTTTTGTGCATATTCATTATTTGCTTTGAGGGAGAGTATTTCTATACTATTATGGAAAATCGAAATTTTGAGTCAGTTTATCCCTTAAAAGGATTATGTTTATATGAATTGTACCTTGCATCTTAGATAATAATATATTGTGACAATATGTGGGGTTACTGCGCTAAGAGTGTGAATTTTATTTATTGAAGGACTTGGGTTTGCATATAATCACTTATGTCATCTCCTTGGATCCCTCGAGAAATAAGCATTGCTCAATATGTGTTAAAAGATTGGAAAAGCTTGAATGTGCTTTAAGTTTTTTCTAACTCCTCACTTTATATAATCTCACCCAGGAGTTTGTTGGGATTTTTGGGGTTGATGTTTTTTTGGCAGAGGTTATTTTTCAATACATTTCTCTGTCAAAGTGTGTGCTGGTCAGAACTTGGAGGTGGTGACTGTATCTCTACTTTGTGTTCACTGTTCAGTTGCTCAGGATAAATGGTCTTTTAATTTCAGTCAAACAGAGTTGTCAGGACTCAAATTTCTCTAGAAATTGCTAGTATTTCTTTTATGATCGCACATTTCCAAATATGAACTATCACTCTTTCTCAACACATTAAACAATCCCTGTAAAATCTAAAGGTGTTCAGTGGATTTATATTATATGGCTTTAAGCTCTAGATCTATATAGAGAAACTTACACTTTACCATAAAGTTAATGCTTTCAAGACGCTGCTGAGAGTTATTCCTTACAGTAAAATGGTCAAGTTTTGGGAAACTGCAAAATCCTGACTTACTTCAAACCTCATGAATAATGTACGGTACATGTTTCTACATGTTCTCACAGGGTCCATTGGTTATTTTGTGGACTACATTTTTCCTACCCCTGTGACAACTCTTTTTTATAGTCTTTTTTTTTGGTTTTTGCAAGGCGACAAGACTCCTGTACGACTCTATAAGTGGTGCTTCCCTTGGTCCTTGCTTCCTGTTGAGAAATCCTTTTACACTTTTCCTTTTGTCTTTGGAGCAAATCCTTCTTTTTGCCTTACAAAATGTGATCAGATTTGTGTTTTCATAATACTATAATGTGCCTTTTTATTAAAAACTTATGGTAGGTCACCAGGATGAACATCTGAGTTTTCAAAATGATCAAAGGAAATCCTTTTCCCACTTCTTTATAGAAGATTTTTCTTTTATTAACATAATATATCTACTTATATTTGATAATATTCTTATATGCCAAACATAATTTTTTTTAAAATTTGAATCAAAATGCCGCCTTATTGTGGCAACCATCCTGCTGCTTGATATACTGTAATGTTTGTTAGACATATTGTTGAGTGATCGATGCCTTTGGATCTCTTGTCTTTTCAAACTCCCTCTGCCAATGATTCCACCCAAAGATTACTGCCAAATAACTTGTTCAAACTCACTATATGTATGTGCAGAAGGCATGTGTGCGTTTTCTTTGTTAATAACTTTGAGATACATGTATGTGCATTGGTTACTGGTTCGTTGTTAATTTTTCTTTGACTGTTTTCATTTTTCACTCAGAACACGTTTTGTCACACACACACTCACACACACATGTAAGCATACACATGTACATGTACATACGGATGCATGCACTTGCGTGCACACACACATACACTCACGCACACATACACATACACACACACACGCAGACTCACACGCATACACACTCTTTATTTCTTCATGAACCATATCCTATCTGTCCCTGACCATGAGTAATTAATGTTTTTCAGACGTGTATTTTGTTAACAATAGTCGTCTTCTGTCATGTCTTTCATCGCATGGTGTCCTCCAGTTTATCCTTTTTGGAGGGTAAATTATACACTGTCCCGAGCAAAGGTCATTACATTACAAAGACAAGCTCTACTCTATGGGTAATATTAAAATCTGTTTTCTGCTGAACTGTATTGGGTTTACAAATGTGTTGGGCTGTCTGTATACAGAGGCCACGCCACATTGATAATGAATATTTTGAACCATGTAAAGGTGCTGCAGATGTCTTTTTGATTGGGATTTTTGAACTGAGAATGTTTGGAACAAAGAATGAAAGAAAATATCTGGACTGCTCCCACTCATGAATTTCAAGTTTTCATTCTTTTCTCATATCAAGCATGTGCATAAGTGAATTCTCTTGTAATTTTTGTTCATTCTTTTATGTTTTGTATCATTGCTTGTCGTAACATTTTCAACAAGCACTAGCATTCATCTTGTGAAGAGAACTAATTTAATCGTCAGTGTAGCATTTCTGAACATGAGAACTCTGAGAATTGGAGAAAATGAGGTTGGTGCTGCTATTGTGTACAGTATTGGAACAAATTATGTAAATATCGTGGGACCAGTAACATAGTTGTTGAATAAGAAAGTAGAATTACCCAGAAAAGATTACATTTTTGTGCTGCTATTAATTTTTGCGTGGAAGGCACTTTTCAAGTGCAAAAAATAAATGAATGAAGAACTTTTGTCAAATAAAAATTGGAGAAGAGGGAAAGGCGGGGGAGTCACAAGAATTAGAATCTAAACTGTAACTTTCAGAACTTTAAACCATTTTTTTTCTGTTTCTTTAGCCTCTTCTTCAGCTAATTTTATATCTTCAAGAGGAAAAAAATTTCCCACTGGCATTGACACGTTTCTGTGACACAGTTTTCATTCATTTGAGGTGTCCTATTTCGTGGGGGTTATAATCTCTCTGTGGGGAGTGTGCGAGTTTTGCTGTCTGGCCGGGACTTGAGCTGGGCAGGGGAGAGAAGTCGCCGCGACTGTCAGCACTATCTGATGCTATCTGTGAGCATAAACAGATCCTGATATGGCAACAGTGATACATATAGCCTGTGAGTGGGTCGTTGCTCATTTCTGAGACCCCAGTTGTGACACACTTTTTTTCACACAAGGCTAAAAGGGTCGGGAATATATAGCAGAAAGGTATCTGACCCGGTAAATTATGATGTTAGTATTTTCATTTAGCAGCACTCCTGGCGTAGATTTATCATTTGAATTACCCCCACAGCATTAGTTAACTTTGTTGTAGGGCCCTACAGTAAGTTTTACATCTTAACCTCTTGTTTGTAAGTCTTACCTTTTCCAATGACTAAATGGCTGTTTGTCTGAAGATATGTGCTTCTTTATTAATTACATTAACTCAAGGTTTTGCTGCGCATCCATAAAATCAATACCCTCTCTAATATTTCAACAAAATTATTGTTTAATTTTAATTATATGTATCAGTTTGTTTGATGTTAAATTATTTATTCTATTATTTTTTTATGGTTCCATGGCTATGTTTACATGAGGAACAGTTACAAGTGTTGCAAAACTTCATGTTGGGAGAAGTGGGCCAAACTATTGTACCTCAAAAGACTGTGTTTATTAAGTGAGAGATCATGTGATCGTACACCTCAGAAGCATGCTTTCATTCAAAGTAGTAAACCTGCAGCTGTGCAGAGAGCAGAGAAATGTATGGGGAAAAGTGTCGTAAATGAGAGAAATGTTGTGTTGGTTGGAATACGTCAGTCTTTTTTCTTTTCTCCAGAATTTTTGAGGTACAACAGTTAGGTCCCACTCTGTTGACATAACTGTGGTCGCATGCTGCTACTAATATTTTTTTGTGCTATGTGTTTTTTCATGTTGAAGCTGGGTTATGCAGTGTGTGCTTCTAAATACAATCAGTGGGTGCGTGTTGGTTTGTGAGTTGACAATGTTGATGAAAGTGTACTTCAATTTATTAAAAACACTTTGTTTAAAAAAATGTTCTTTCAGTGTTGCTCGCAAGTGTGAAGCTGAGGAGTTTTCCATACCACATAATCCTATTGATCTCTTCTACTCATGACATCTTGAATATTTTAAAACCTTCATTTATGTCATAAGTTCCTGACGTATGATACTGTTCCTAAATATTATTTCTTGTTTGTGATTTGTGTTAACAAATGCTTTGTTCTTTGCTTTGTGGGATGTTGACATCAACAACAAAAAAAACTATGTAATTGGCACAGTTCAAAGGCATATTGTGTAAAAAGCAGTGGAGCTTTTGGTAGTAAAATATATTGAGTTGGAAAAGGCCTCATGTGCAATTTGGACAAAATAGTGGGGAGTATTTTGTTGTAAATTCTTTTCCTTTTTTTTTTCATTTTTTAGTGGAGTTTTTTCTTGCAATGAGCTATTTGTAAGTTCAGAAGAGGGTTTTGGGTTGCAAAAAGGTTTTCTTTACAAATATTTTGGGGAGACTGTAAGGATTCAATGTTTAAGTTTCACTTATAGTTGAATATCTTGGTGTCCTACGTATAGCGTTATAAGAATTTCTCTTTTAAGTCTATTACTTCTGTCTTTATTGTTTGTATTCTGCCCTCTATCTCTTTCAGCATGTTTGTCTTTGTGTGTGTGTATATATGTTTGTGTTGAGTCTTCACTCATTCTTTGGTTGTCTTAGGTGGACAAGAGCTTCTTCACATCTGTTGTTGTTGCCTGATTAATACAAGTAACTAACATTCTGCAATGTATAAATCGCTTTGTTTGTCTCATGTTTTTGACACAATCAGCATAGTTTGGAATGTTTGCAAGTGAAAATGCTTTTATACAGAGGGGACTAAATGAATTTGTAGTTACTTATCTATGGATGAATATGATTTATAAGGTTATTATTAAGAGGAGTCTTAGCAGTTGGCCTTACAACAGGACATTATGTATTGCAATTGAAAGGTAATCCCATCACAAGTCAAGAAAGAATGTATTGTTGAATTGTTTTTCATGAAATGAATCTTACATATTTCTACTGGTTGTCATTGTATTTGAATTATTTCTGTTCTTTGTTCGTTATTACCTGTACGTTTTCATGTAGGTTTTTTTGCTAACATTTTTATCTAATGTTTTGTTTGGGATTATATTTTTCATGTGTCCTCTATGTATAGGGGACAGTTGTGGATGGCATTTCGACATGTCTATTACAAATAAATCCTAATGTGTTTGATATGGAATTTTCGATCAAACTGAATACTACTTAAATACATGAAATATAAATGCTATGCCATGTCTGGGACATGTTGTGTAAC